CAATAAAGGAATAAAGACTCCCTGTGTTTCCTAAGAAATGACTGGCTGCTGAAACATTCCAGTTGAAGAATTCAAAGTGGCATGTTGACCTTTTCCTTCAGAGTTATAGGAAGGACTTCACATGTCACTGTTTCCTTCATTTGGGGCAGGGATTTTATTTTCAGTATGAACAGGACTCGCATTTTGCACCACTTTAAATTGCTCTCTGAGGGGGAAAAGGAAAACTGGGACATTCCGGGATCAAATAAAAAACCAGGGCAGCTTCTGTAATTCCGGGGCTGTCCCTGGAAAACCGGGGCGCTTGGAGGGTCTGTATTGGTGACCCCATAGATGTGGTTCATGGATGAACATCATTCAGCTGCTAATATCTTGCACCACCAATATTTTCCAACCCGCAATTGCCGGACTTTGCAGATCAATGGGTAGGTCCACTCATAGACCTCAACCAGCTTGGGACAGGAGACTGTTTTTACAATGTTTGAGTTCAAAAAAGGCCTCGCATTGCAGCTGGCAGCATCACGAGGCTCTTTGACTGCAGTCTCCCAGCCAACCGCCCCTCCTCAAAGATGTTGACATCTAGGCCCCACCAAGTTGGGGGGGCTAGACTCTGGAGGATATATTGTTTTGTTCTTGTCCAGGGCAGGGGCGATTGGGAGGGGGGTAACCTTGTACCATTGCTCTAGGAATGAGGTATGGTTCCCAAATTGCAGCCTTCCTGCTGGTTGTTTCCTGGAAAGCTGCCCTGAGGACAAAAGGCCCCGAGAGGTGCTGAAGGCCCCTTGATCAGGAAATAACAGGGTACGTCAGTTCTAAGGAGAAGCCTTTGAGCGTTCATTGGCTGGGTACACCCACACCAAACGCACGCCTGATGCATCCGGGAATCCAGGGCCGGCTCAGTCATTAGGCGGTGTGAGGAAACTGCCTCAGGTGGCAGAAGTCCCTGAGGCAGCTTTCTTGCATGCGCTGGAATCGGTGCTGATTTAGGGCGAGATCTCCCAAAAATCGGCTCCCGTGACGGCACCCTTTATCCTTGTGCTGGCCTGGTGTTTTTCAAACTTTTCACCCTTTAAATAGTTGACCTCCGCTCAACCCACCAACGGCACGTTACAAACTCCTTTGAAATCTTCCTTTCCCAGCGTGAGGCGGGCCTGCTGGGCTTTGAGAAAAGGAAAGCCAAGAACCTCTTCAAAAAAACCAAAGAAAAAAACTAGTCCTTCAGTCTGTTGGATCCTTGCCTTAATTGCATTTCCATGTTTTGCAGTTCATTCCGCTTTTTCATCTAGAGCTGGCTTTAACTATGATCGCAGATCTCTGAATCGTTTCCAGTTTTGTTCGCCGGCTCCTTACATTGTGGTGCCTCAAATCTGAACACAATAGCTGAAGTGTTCAGAAACCGTGGGTGCTTGTACTTCCCCATCCTCAAATTCCCAGTTTCTAACTGTCTTTTTTGTGTGTATGTATGTTTTTTAAAAAATATATTAACTAACTTCCCCCCAGAGGTTCCTTTCTTGGACCCATTGTTTGATGTATTTTGCTGTCTTGAACTGAATGAGGCCTGTCATCTGTCTCAGGGCTGACAACCAAATGTGGTTCTCAGGACCTTTTTATTCGGCGCTTGCATACCCTCCAACATTTAAGGAAGGGCCCCTGCTTTTTCCATTCAAACCGTTTCCTGCATCGACCTTAATTTATGCCTTGATCCAAGCTGCAAATCTAGGCCCCTGAACATGTTTTTAACTAATGATATGTTTCAACACTGAAGACCAGCATGGCTGACTCACTTAAGCCAGCTGCCAGTAATTCAGGTTATCTCCTGGTCTGTGCACAGATCCAGCTTTAACTCCTGCAGTTTTTCTTCCACTGGTCCCCAGAGTGTGAACAAGCCGAAAACGAACACCTCTACCTCTGAGTCTGGACTTCCAAAATAGACTGTGCTTTCCCAAGCTCCAACTGCTGCTGTGAATTCGCCTCCTGCCCAGTGGCATAACGTGGGTTGCCAGGGCTGCGGGAGGGAAACAGACAGAGTACACATGCTCATTCAACTGCCTAACAGCGTCCATGTTCACCCAGGAGAGATCGTAGCTGCAGAGATAAGAAAATAAGAGTCATTCCGTTGTCTGGAGAGATAGCTTCCTTCTTTTTTTGTTGGGGCTTCTTGTGATTTCCAGTTCTTAGCTAACAAAATTCTTGCCGCAGTTGTGGCATACAAAAACAATTTATCATCTTTCTTGGGCAATTCCAAACCTATTATTCCAAGAAGAAAGGCCTCTGGTTTCTTAATAAATGGATATTTCAACATTTTTTTCAATTCATTATAAATCTTCTCCCATAAGTCTTTCACCTTGGGGAATGTCCACCACATATGATAGAAAGTACCCTCCTTTTCTTTACATTTCCAACATAAATTATCACTGTTATGGTAAATCGTTGCTAATTTTACAGGAGTCAAATACCATCAATACATCATCTTCATAATATTTTCTTTTAACACCGTACATGCAGTGAACTTGACGCCTTGGGGAGATCACTTCCTGGCTCGCATGGAGAAACCATTTTGAACAGAGGCAGCACCAGGTGTTGCGCCAATTTTGCACCCCTAACAATTTTGCACCCGGGGCAACTACCCCTATGCCCCACCACCACCACGCTACATCACTGCCCCTGCCCCTGCCCCTTAACCTTTCCCATTTCATACTGCTGCCCCACAGACATAGACACATAAAGCATCACGACTCTGCAAGTAACTGCAAAATTCCTAGTGCTCCATTCAGGGCAGGGCCAGATTCCAACTCAACAGAATGAGTTTGGCTTACCACATTCTGAAGCCGTATATATTACCATCTCAAGAGGAGGGTTCCTGGAAGACCATTGCATCCAGAATCTAAAATTGCCTGACTGCAACACCAAAAACCTTTCAGTCCCAGCCTAAAAGCTGTTCATCCATCTTGTTGACCTCCCCAGGCACTCTGCAACTTGACTTCTGTATTTACTTCTTCAACCCATAGCAGTTGCTGACCAGGACATCTGTCATCTACATCCCCCCAGGCTTATCTCAAGGTTTTCTGCAAAGGGCAGCTGCAGTTCAGTTGAACTTTCTTGGTGTCCTGCACGGCATGGCTTCCTGTCACCTGGTAATGTGTTCTGATTTTGTTAGGAGGGCTACTGCTATTTTCTGGGATTCTGTTCCGTCACATCTGCACACCCATTTCACCCAAATGGGAACAAAACTGGCAAGTGGTTCAAAGGAAGAAGGATAAGAATTTGGATTTGATATCCCACTTTATCACTACCTGAAGGAGTCTCAAAGCGGCTAACAGTCTCCTTTCCCTTCCTCCCCCACAACAAACACTCTGTGAGGTGAGTGGGGCTGAGAGACTTCAGAGAAGTGTGACTAGCCCAAGGTGACCTAGCAGCTGCATGTGGAGGAGCGGGGAATCGAACCCAGTTCACCAGATTACGAGTCCACTGCTCTTAACCACTACACCACACTGGCTCTCACCCATCTCCTCCATGTAAGTAAAGCCCAGGACCTACAGCCTACCCAGACTGCTGTGTTATTTTGGGTGCATGCAGAAATATGTTGTCGATGTATTAATAGTGCATTTGGCATTGATTTATACTGGGCTGTCCCATACCCTCCAACATTTCTCCAATGAAAATAGGGACGTCCCATTCCATAATGATTTACTATTTATACTCTACACATCTGACTGAGTGGCCCCAGCCACTCTGGACAGCTTCCAACATATATTAAAACATAATAAAACATTAAACATTTATTTTTAAAAATTCCCTATACAGTATAGGATTGCCTTCTGACGGCTCGGTGGGTCAGATAATTCCATACCCTCCAACATTTCTCCAATGAAAATAGGGACATCCTAAGGAGAAGTGGGACATTCCGGGATCAAATCAGAAACCAGGACGGCTTCTCTAAATCAGGGACGTCCCTGGAAAATAGGGACATTTGGAAGGCCTGCTGTCTACACATAATCCACTTGTATTGGTTCTGATATGCTTCTCCAATGTTCACACATTATTGGATCCCTACATTAACTTTAGGGACGCGGGTGTCGCTATGGTCTAAACCACAGGGCCTTGGCCTTGCCGACCAGAAGGTTGGCGGTTCGAATCCCCGTGACGGGGTGAGCTCCCGTTGCTCGGTCCCTGCTCCTGCCCACCTAGCAGTTTGAAAGCACGTCAAAGTGCAAGTAGATAAATAGGTACTGCTCCGACAGGAGGGTAAATGGCATTTCCGTGTGCTGCTCTGGTTCGCCAGAAGCGGCTTAGTCATGCTGGCCATATGACCCAGAAGCTGTACGCCGGCTCCCTCGGCCAATAAAGCGAGATGAGCGCCGCAACCCCAGAGTCGACCATAACTGGACCTAATGGTCAGGGGTCCCTTTAGCTTTACATTAACTTTACCCATTCCGTTGTCCATGTTCCTGCCATTCTCTTTCCCCCCTCTTTATGAGCTACTTACGCCATGAGGCCATGCCAACATATTTTCATTTGTGTACTTTTGTTAACACTCATGCTCATTTGCAGACATCCCCCCTCAGGAATAGTAGTACACAGCACCAACAGGAAATGTGGGCTTTGTAAAAAGGGAAAAGCTTCTCCCCCTTCTTTTTCCCTAAGTGTACGTTAGTTGTAAAGGAAAACAGGACCCCTGAACAGTTAAGTCCAGTCAAAGGTGACTATGGGGTTGCGGCGCTCATCTCGCTTTCAGGCCAAGGGAGCTGGCGTTTGTCCACAGACAAACTTGCACTGGCGTGCTTTCGAACTGCTAGGTTGGCAGGATCTGGGACAGAGCAACAGGAGCTCACCCTGTTGTGGGATTCGAACCGACCACAACGCCACCCGCATCCTAGTTGTGTTGTGACACAATACCGCTATATTTTCATTTTTACACATATGTAAGTTTTGATGTTCAGGCTGAGATTGCTGGGCTAATCTATCCCTTATGTCCACACAAAACCCCACAGGAATGGCAGGGTCTTGACACCAAGAGGAAGAATGTAGAGGACACATTTCAGCACATTGCCAAGGTGCTCTTGCACTAACCACCCCAAATTTTTAGCGGGCACAAATCATATTAAAAGTGCAATCATGTTTAACTGCCCCCAATAGCATCGTGCACGCAATTCATGACATCTGGAAGGAGCCTTGGATTCAAATTCCAGGTGGGATTTCATTCTTCGCTGTTCTCCTCTCCTTTTTAATAACTGAACGAGACACACAAACACACATATACACCCTCCCTGCTGCTGAAGCAAAGGCTGGTTTCCAAGAGTATGAAAATCAAGCCCATTAATATGTCTGGGCGGGAAGAAATAAGGACCTCTGAACTAGAATAACCAACATAACAGACAGTTCTGGGAACTTCCCATAATGGGAGTGACGAGGTGATCTGCCATGCTCTCTATGAAGGCACCCTCAGGCCAGTGGAACAGTGGCAGACTGACTGCCACAGAGAGTCCCCAGAAGTCTCACTCTCTGGTGTTCAGATCTCCGACTGCGTAATAGATCTACTCTGTGATGAACCAGCTGTTCTGATAGGGTGGTCCTTGTTTTTTTTGTTACTCACGTACTTCAGGCCTCTTCCTTTTGGCCTCTACCTAATCATCTAGCATTTCCTGGATTGAGTCATTTTCCCAGCTGCGTTGACCCAGCAGCCAAATGAGCGGTCACTGGGACGGACTTGGTGAGAGCAACGACGGGCTTGAAGCATTCCTTTGCCGCGATGAGCCCGAAAGCCCTGCTCGTTCTCCTGCTGCTCGCTCTGGTTACCATTTTTGCCTTGGTGTGCGTGTTGTTGACCAGGAGGGAGACCCTTGTTCACTGTCCTGCAGGGTCTCAGGATTCCCTGGACGGAAAACACAATGACCAGAGCCTGGTGTTTGCTGACCTGTCCACAGAAGAGATGGCCGTGGTGCTGAAGTACCTGCAGTCTCACCTGGGGCTACCCTTGGTAGATGCATATCACGCCAACTCTTCTGATAATTGTGTTTACTACTTGGATGTGGAGGTGCCCTGCAAGGAGCAGGTGCTGAAATTCCTTGATCATGGAGGGCCAAAGCCTGTTCGACGGGCACTGGCTGTGGTGTACTTTGGAAACCAGGCAGAACCAAACATCACAGAGTACGTGGTGGGCCCGCTCCCGGCGCCAACATATCATCGGGATGTGACGGCAGAGAAATATAGAGGCAAGTTATCTTACCACGGCCGAACTGTGATGGGGAACGAATACGAACAAATTGGGAAGTTCCTACTGGGAGGGAAGCTGCTTGAGGCTGCCACTTTCTTCGAACAGGTGTTTGGTCACAACGGGAGCGACTTTGCGGCCCTCACCTCAGCCCCTCGGGGGTTCCAGTCTGGAGATCGCGCCACCTGGTTTACCCTGTTCCAGAACATCAAGGGCTTCTTCCTGCATCCGGTGGGGTTTGAGCTGTTGCTAAACCACAGCAGCCTCAACATCTCTCACTGGAGCGTGCCAAAAGTGTTTTATAACGGTCAGTATTATGATGGTCTGCAGGAGCTGGAAAAGGAATTCAAAGCGAATCGCGTGAAAGTGGCCAAAGTCGAGAGAGTCTCCTCCGACGGGGGGTTTGCTTCGATCGACCGCAGGGTCCCCTCTCTGGGATCTGGTCCTTTGCACTACGAGCCCTGCGGACCACGCTATAGCGTAAGGAACAACCAGGTCATTTCCCCATCCTGGAGTTTTGCCTTCAGGATGGACGTGAACAGAGGACCCAGTGTCTACGACGTCCGATTTAAGGGCCAAAGGATTGTCTACCAACTCAGTGTGCAGGACGCCATGTCTGTCTATGGTTCCAACTGCCCTGGTGGGATGTCCACCCGATATATGGATGTCAATTTTGCCATGGGGAGGTATTCTTATTCCCTCGTCCGCGGAGTTGATTGCCCTTACTCTGCCACTTACCTTGACACCGCTTATTTAATTGAGACTGTGACTCCAGAGGTGCAGAAGAACTCCATTTGCGTTTTTGAGCAGAATGTGGAGGCCCCCTTCCGGCGACACTACTCCAACCTCCAGTCTCTCTATTACGGGGGGCTGCCCGCCTCTGCGCTGGTCTTTCGTTCTGTATCTACTATGGGGAACTATGACTACGTCTGGGACTTCATTTTCCATCCAAACGGTGCTATTGAAAGCAAAGTCAGAGCCAGTGGGTATATAACTTCATCTTTCCTCTATGGTGATGGGCTGGACTATGGCAACAGAGTGGCAGAGCACACACTTGGAACGATCCACACTCATTTCATCAACTACAAAGTGGACTTGGATGTGGGAGGTAAGGTCTACTTTGATCACGGCACTTTTGCTCTGTCTCCTGCCCTTGTTGGCAGCTCTACTTCTCGCCGCTGGGTGCTTTCTCACTCTCCCCCCCCCCCAACCTGGGGATGCCAGGGGGACCCGCAATTTCCACCCTGGGTCGGGTTTGTTGCAACAAAGCACTGTTTCCATTCTGCTGCAGTTCAGCTTCCGCTGAAACCTTAGCTATTCATCTTGCTATCTGCTATGGCCAAAACACATGCAGTTAATTAAGTAATTGATTGCACAGTTAATTTCAGTGCATTGAGGGAAATGTCAAAACCATGCAGGAAATAACCACTTGTGTAATATTTGCAGGCTGGGAAAAATAAATGCCACTTGTATTTGCTTGCACGGTTTCCACTACTGACCTCGGAAAAATATGCAAATTGGGTGAATTTCTGTTCCCCTTTCTGATGGAATTTGCTGACATTGCTACTAGATCTCTGTGAACTGAGTGGCAAAGTTTCTGCCAGGAGAGGGAACCACATCCATATACTGCTTCATTGCCCTTTGTGATAGGAACAACCTGTGTCTGGGTTTCCAGAATCCATCTAAAATATTGTTTTTGACTGTGTTTCCATGGGACTCTTGGGTTTGATTAGCACCTTGCAGGGGTTTGATGGCATTTTACAAGCTCCCACTCATGCTCTCTTGTTCCAGTCACTCACCCTCCCTCACTGTAAAGCTTAGATTTTAAGTCTGCAGTTATTCTAGCTATTTTTTTGCTCTTGCTGAGCTTATAATCCATACATGATGATAAATCCAACACATTAGGCTTGTCTCTCCACTGTTTCTGCATGTCTATAATAATAATAATAAACAATGATTTTATTATTTAAACCCTTCCCATCTGGCTGGGCAGCATCCAGCGCATATTTTTTTTAAAAAGAAGACAGGGCTGCCTTCAGATGTCTTCTAAAAGTTGTGTGGTTCTTTACCTCCTTGACATCTGATGAGAGGGCATTCCACGGGGAGGGTGCCACTACTGAGAAGGCCCTCTGCCTAGTTCCTCTTAGCTTCATGTCTCACAGTGAGGGAACCTCCAGAAGGCCCTCAGAGCTGGATCTCAACTATGAGCGTGGAAATGCTCCTTCAGGTATACAGGGCCAAGCCTGTTTAGAGCTTTAAAGGTCAGCACCAACACTTTGACTTGTCCTTTGAAATGTACTGGGAGCCAGTGAAGATCCTTTAGGACCGGTGTTATGTGGTTCTGGCAGTTGCTCTCAGTCGCCAGTCTAGCTGCTGTATTCTGGATTAGTTGTAGTTTCTGGGTCACCTTCAAAGGGAGCCCCATGTAGAGCGCATTGCAGTAGTCCAAGCGGGAGATAACCAGAGCATGCACCACTCTGGCCAGACAGTCTGCGGGCAGGTAGGGTCTCTGCCGAATGGCTCCACCAGTATGGACATATGCGAAGGATCTTGAGAATATAAATTTTCAATACCGTTCTACCCTCGCCATCCCTCTTTCTAGGTGTTCAGAATTCCTTGATAGCCAACGACATGACTTTTGAAAAAGTGAAGGTCCCTTGGAACCCTGAACATGAGATCAACCGGATGAAACTGGTGAAGAAAGTCTTAGACACGGAAGACAAGGCTGCCTTTCGCTTACACGACGACATGCCAAGATACATCTATTTTGCATCCGAAAGCAAGAACAAATGGGGCCATAATCGTGGCTATCGGATCCAGCCCATCAGCTTTTTTGGGGAGCACCTTCCAGAGACTGATCCAATGGAGAGAGCTATCAGCTGGGGCAGGTACTGATTGCGTTTTATGTGACATCACAGGCCCAACATCCAGTAATTCTCTTTCTCTCTTTACCCCATGGTTCCTCCATCTTTTCTCAAACCACAGAAAGTCCAACTTTTTCTGGAATGGCATCACAATCTCCACAAATGTAGATGCCTTTAGCACTATTCTTTTGTTGTTTTAGGGACGCGGGTGGCACTGTGGGTTAAACCACAGAGCCTAGGACTTGCCGACCAGAAGGTCAGCGGTTCGAATCCCCACGAAGAGGTGAGCTCCCATTGCTCAGTCCCTGCTCCTGCCAATCTAACAGTTCGAAAGCACGTCAGAGTGCAAGTAGATAAATAGGTACCGCTCTGACAGGAAGGTAAATGGCGTTTCCGTGCGCTGCTCTAGTTTGCCAGAAGCGGCTTAGTCATGCTGGCCACATGACCCAGAAGCTGTACACCGGCTCCCTCAGCCAATAAAGCGAGATGAGTGCCGCAACCCCAGAGTTGGTCACGACTGGATCTAATGGTCAGGGGTCCCTTTACCTTTACTTTTGTTGTTTTAGGGCTTTGACATGGGCAATGACATAACTCAGAAAATAAACCTACCGTTGCTCAGCACACATTTTTTTATTCCCTTTGCAACTTGTGTCATTTTATGACATTTTCTTGTCACTGTCATCAACCATGTTGCTAAAAGGATGCTGACCAGAAATATATTTTAGATAGACAGGCAGACAGGCAGGCTTTATAACACCATTAAGGCATTGTAGAAATATCTACAGTGGCAACTCAGTTTTCGAATGTAATCCGTTCTGGAAGACCATTCGAGTTCCGAAACATTCAAAAACCGAAAACTCAGTATGGAAGCCTCAAAACGGAAAACTCAATGCGGAGTTTCATGTTCAACTTCCAAGGCACATTCAAAAACCAAAGCATTTAGTTCCAGGTTCACGGCATTTGAAAACCGAAATGTTTGTCACCGGAGATGTTTGAAAACTGAGGTACCACTGTATATATTTCATTTAAAAACGTATTTGCTGGGGAAGTGTTTAGCACTAATTAAAATTCTGATTTATTTATTTTTTTAAAAATTAGGATCATAAATTGGCACCCAGCCACACAAAGGCTGTAGTGGTTGCAAGTTTCAAATGGCCCACTCGCAGCACACAAAACCCCTGATAGTATGGGAAATCAATTGCATTTCTGCTTTGGAAGAGCAGTAAGGAGCCGCCTCACCTGTCGGCAAGCATCCCATGTCCCAATTTCAGGAGAGCATCCATTATCTTGTCAGCTGCGGTCGGCCACGAGCAAAGACAAAGCGCCGTAGCGTGATGCTGGGCCTCATCTGTAGGAAAATGGGGAAACCGTTCAGCTTCAGCAATGCTTCATTTTGTTTTCTGTTGTTATTGCTGCTGCTGCTTTTTTCATTGCTACTCTGCTTTTCAGGTATAAGCTGGCTGTCACCAAGCGGAAGGAGGAGGAACCATATAGCACCAGCATCTATAACCAGAATGACCCCTGGACACCTTCAGTTGCCTTTGCTGACTTCATAGACAATGAGACGATTGTCAACGAGGTGAGTTAACACTCTCTGCCGAAGCTTCTGGTAATCTGTACAACCTCCATGAAATTGGGCAGGATGCGGACTCAAACCAGAAACTAGATGCTCGACAAATCTATTACACACCTGTTTCCCTTATCATATGACCCTTGATCTCTATTGGCTTCACAAGCAGGATATAAAGGGGAATAGGTTTCAGTGCATCTTTCACACGTCTTCGAAGTGGAAACACACATTTGAAGCAAATCGGGGGGGTTCTGAACCTGTGTTTGCTAGTTCACATAGACGGAGGGATTGGAGGCAGCATTTGCAGGAGAGAATCAACAGCTGGTATGCTTGAACCTACCCTACTGCAAACCACTGAGCCTCTTGGGTTTGCCGATCAGAAGGTCTGCGGTTCGAATCCCACGACAGGGTGTGTTATGTACTGAAGTTCTCACCCTGGGCCAGCAGGGGGATACTGTAGATAGTTATGCAAATAAGGGATCGAAAGTGACGTTCAGTGATTGCATAGTTTTAGAAAGTTGTAACAATTATGTGTACTGGAGCTCTATATAAGCAGGCTGACTGAGCCCTTCAGCTCAGTTCTGTTCTGGCCTCTGAATAAAGAAGAGCTGTTTGAAGAATCACTGTGTCGTCTGATATGTTCACCCACAACTTAACAGGGTGAGCTCCCGTTGCTCTGTCCCAGCTCCTGCCAACCTAGTAGGTCGAAAGCATGCCAGTGCAAGTGGATAAATAGGTACCACTGCAGCGGGAAGGTAAACGGCATTTCCATGCGCTCTGGTTTCCATCACGGTGTTCCGTTGTGTCAGAAGCGGTTTAGTCATGCCGGCCACATGACCTGGAAAGCTGTCTGTGGACAAACACCAGCTCCCTCAGCCTGAAAGCAAGATGAGCGCCACAACCCCATAGTCGCCTTTGACTGCGCTTAAATGTCCAGGGGTCCTTTACCTTTTTACCTTTACCTTACTGCCAGTACCTCCCAATATATTAGCTGGATTTTCTCCCTTTTCTGATTCCAAGACTGGATAAAAAAATTGACTGGGGGAGAACTGGTATTTTCAGAAGAGTTAACGACTCCCCATGCTGCCTGCTAATGAATACCTCATTGCCTCCTCATTAAAACTGCATCAGCAAACACAGGATTAGAAACCGCCATAAGGCTTTTTTTGTCTTGTGTGGAATGCAAAAAATTGTGAGTTGGAGCAATGTTTTCCATGTGTCGCGCTCATCCTCCTAAGCACAGTTGCCATCTCTTAGGAAAGAAATGATTAATGTGCGGCTAATAATAATGTTTTTGGTGTGTCGTCTTGATGTCAATGTTCATTGAACTCTCACATAAATGGAAGAACAGGCCGCTTGACCGTTCTCTGTGGGATTTGAGGCGTGAGCCCAGCCAAATCAACCCAACAGCTGAATGTTCTAGAATTCTTGGCCTGGAATTCTCGGTTGCATTTCTGTCAAAGGAAATGACTGTAAACAGCAAGCGCTTTCCCTCCTGTGGTTGTTCTTGCATTTTGAAAGCTGCCCGGAAAGGCAGGAGAACGGATTTGCTGGCTGTGTGGCCCAAATCCATTTAACTCGCCAAATTTCTTGGTGCTGGTAAGTGCGTACCCTCCAACATTTATCCGATGAAAACAGAGACATCCTACTCAACAATAAGGGACACGGGTGGCGCTGTGGGTTAAACCACAGAGCCTTGGGCTTGCCGATCAGAAGGTCGGCGGTTCGAATGGTCAGGGGTCTCTTTACCTTTTTATTCAACAACAGCAACAACAAATTTATTATTTCTACCCCGCCCACATTTATAAAAACACAATAAAAGGTTAACCATGAAAAACTTCCCTATATGTGCAGGACTGCCTCCAGATGGCTTCTAAAGGTTGCTTACCGTATTTTTCGCCCTATAGGACGCACTTTTTCCCCTCCAAAAATGAAGGGGAAATGTGTGTGCGTCCTATGGGGCGAATGCAGGCTTTCCCTGAAGCCTGGAGAGCGAGAGGGGTTGGTGCGCACCAACCCCTCTTGCATTCCAGGCTTCAGGAAGCTATCCGCAAGCCTTGCGAGCCCGCGGGAGGTCCCGCCGGCTCGCAAAGCTTGTGGGCAGCAGCCTGCAGCCCACAAGCTCGGGGGATAGTGGGGAGGCGGAGCGCCGTCACCCCCCTATTCCCCGACCTGGTCTTGAGGCTGGCGGGGGGGGGGAGAAGCAAGCTTGCTTCTCCCCATCGCCAGCCCCGTAAGCTCGGGGGATAGTGGGGAGGCGGAGCGCCGTCACCCCGCTATTCCCCGACCTGATCTGGAGGCTGGCGGGGGGGAGAAGCCCTGGAGGGGAGTGGGTGGCCACATGGTCCACCACAACTCCTCCCCACTGGGAAGTGGAGTGGATTTCTCACGGCGGTTTCTGTGTTTTGAGATCTTCCCAATAGGCATCTTGTGACATTTCCTTCCAGATTTTGTCCATCTTTCAGCAATCTCGTCCCATCTTTGGCTTCCTGAGTTGAAAGTATTTGATTCCGCAAGCTTAACTTGGTCAGTTTGGCTTGTGCCTTGAGCCTTCAATTAAATTATGGTGTGAGGGAGACTAACGCCTGCTTCTACAACGGGACTTTCATACCACACATGCCCCGAACCATCCCTGAATCTCTTCCAGACTGTTGGGAGAACAGATTTTGGGGCAAGCAGAGGGGAGATAATGTTCTGTTGCCCATGGAAAAATCATTGTGCCAGTGAAATGTTCATCTTAGGCTCTGCATCGAATTCCTCCCTTTTGTGTTTATTTACAAACCTACATGTTGAGCAGATTATTGTGGGAGTACAAGCAGGCAAGCAGCCACCACAAAATCCCAGTTCATCCCTCACAAAATAGAAGCCATTTGTCAAAAGCTGCTTTCACAAATTGGCTCCAGACATAGAGTCTACCCCACTCCCAGGTTACGGGTGCAGGTCAGACACTTGGAGCAAAGAATTTTCCGGCTTTTGCTAATTGCTCATTGATCCACATCAGCTATTTTGCATCCACCACCAGTCTGCCCCCAAACTTCAGAGAGCTGTCTTTGAACCCATGAACGCATGTTGAAAAATGGCTTCCTTTGAGTTTCAGCGTAAACACTCTTACAGCATTTTAACAGCCAGAGCTCTCCCCACCAAAGAATCCTAGGAACTGTAGTTTACTAAGGATTCTGGGAATTGTAGTTCTGTGAGGGGTAAGCTACAGTTCCCAGCATTCTCTGGGGGAAGCCATTGCCGTGGGAGTGGCATAAATATGCCCTCAGCTGTATCAACATTTTGGAGGTCCCAGGTCGCAAGGTGGTTAGATTGGTCTCAATTAGGGCCAGGGCCTTTTCAGTACTGGCCCCGATGTAGTGGAACGCTCTGTCACAAGAGACCAGGGCCCTGCGGGACTTAACATCTTTCCGCAGGGCCTGCAAGACAGAGCTGTTCCGCCTGGCCTTTGGTTTGGACTTAGTCTGACCCTTATGTTGCCCTCCCCTTATGGTTTTGATCTATGGGCTACTTTTAAAATGAGGCTGCATTTTAAATGGCATTTTAACCTGTATTTTAAATTGGTTTTTCCCCCTATTATGTTTTTACGGTAATTTTACTGGTGTTAGCTGCCCTGAGCCTGGCTCTGTCTGGGGAAGGTGGGGTATAAATAAAATTTATTATTATTTATTACAGTGGTACCTCGGGATAAGTACTTAATTTGTTCCGGAGGTCCGTTCTTAACCTGAAACTGTTCTTAACCTGAAGCACCACTTTAGCTAATGTTGCCTCCTGCTGCTGCCGTGCCGCCAGAGCACGATTTCTGTTCTCATCCTGAAGCAAAGTTCTTAACCTGAGGTACAGTGGTACCTCGCAAGACGAATGCCTCGCAAGACAGAAAACTCGCAAGACGAAAGGGTTTTTGGTTTTTTGAGTTGCTTCGCAAGACGATTTCCCCTATGGGCTTGCTTCGCAAGACGGAAACGTCTTGCAAGTTTGTTTCCTTTTTCTTAAAACCATTAATACAGTTGCGACTTGACTTTGAGGAGCAACTCATAGCACACGGTGTGGTAGCCTTTTTTGAGGTTTTTGAAGACTTTGGTGATTTTTGAAGGTTTTTGCAAAACTTTTCCGACACCGTGCTTCACAAGACAAAAAAAATCGCAAGACGAAGAAACTCGTGGAACGAATTAATTTCGTCTCGCGAGGCACCACTGTACTATTTCTAGGTTAGCGGAGTCTGTAACCTGAAGCGTATGTAACCTGAAGGGTATGTAACTCGAGGTAAAGGTAAAGGGTCCCCTGACCATTAGGTCCAATCGTGGCCGACTCTGGGGTTGCGGCGCTCATCTTGCTTTATTGGCTGAGGGAGCTGGCGTACAGCTTCCAGGCCAGCATGACAAAGCTGCTTCTTAGGTTAGCAGGAGCAGGGAACAAGCAATGGGAGCTCACCCCGCCGCAGGGATTCGAACCGCCGACCTTCTGATCGGCAAGCCCTAGGCTCTGTGGTTTAACCCACAGCGCTGCCCGAGGTACGACTGTATTATTATTATTATCATGTATGTGTGACTGCCCTGCATCACTGCTGCACCCTTTCCTCTTAGCAGATGTCATGAGCCAATGTTTTTTCCCTCCCCAGGACCTGGTTGCCTGGATTACCACGGGCTTCTTGCACATACCACACGCGGAGGACGTCCCCAACACAGTGACGCTTGGGAATGCAGTTGGCTTCCTCCTGAGGCCCTACAACTATTTTGATGACGATCCCTCCATCTACTCCCCGGATGGTGTTTTCTTCACCAGCGAACAGGACCCGACTTCCTGTGACATCAACCACCTTGCATGCCTGCCGAAAACAGCGGCATGCTTACCCAACCTCCCGCCTTTCACTTACGAGGGCTTCCAAAACCTGACAAGGCTCTGAGAAGCTCTCGACTTTGGGTGGGAGGTTGGCAGAGGGATCCGTGTGGACAGCTCGGCGTGAAATTAGTATGTAACCAGGGCAGTTCCTCCTAAGCAATTATCTCCCTGTCTATTATCTTTCAACCCAAATCTTAAACCTTGCTTGCGTGTATTGGACAAGTTTGGACAAATTATATTTGCACTCCCAGACACATTGCTCAACTGAAATTTACCCTTTTCACCAGTCACCTAAATGCTCGTGTATCTTTTTCCTTCCAGAGATCTCAATAAGCGTAATTACCTCCTGGACTGGCTGACTTTTAACAGCAATTCTCCCTCCAAAAGGAACTCCATAGGCTGCAATTCCGGAAATTGGAGTGGCGATTTTTAACAAAGAAGTCTTAGCGCTTTCACCAAACTTTCACTTTCAGTTACACTGATGTAAATCAGGGGTGGGTTTGCTGTGAAGATCTGTTTATTTGCTTTCTTACTAGCAATCTGGGATTCCCGTGAATCGAAAGGTAGTCAAAGATCCAGTATTCCGGGAGAAATTGGCCTGTATCCTTTAACCATCATATGAGCCTGACTATGAGCCAGTGTGGTGTAGTGGTTAAGAGCGGTGGACTCGTAATCTGGTGAACCGGGTTCGATTCCCCGCTCCTCCACATGCAGCTGCTGGGTGACCTTGGGCCAGTCACACTTCTTTGAAGTCTCTCAGCCCCACTCACCTCACAGAGTGTTTGTTGTGGGGGAGGAAGGGAAAGGAGAATGTTAGCCGCTTTGAGACTCCTTAAAGGGAGTGAAAGGCGGGATATCAAATCCAAACTCTTCTTCTTCTTCTTCTTCATGTCATGACTTTACAGATTGCTTTACAGTATTCTTGCACAGTTGCTATTCTCTCCCATCCAGCCCAGAGGATTTAGGTGAGACACCCATCTTTAAGATAAAATAAAAGAATTCAGAGCACAAGTCTTCTCTAATTTCAGTAATATTTTCCTTTGTTAAAAAAAAAATGAAATTGAGAGAGGGGGTGTGTGGAAGCGGGGTTTTTTTTTTTAAAAAAAGAATATTGTTTCAGTGGGTTGGGTAATCGGCACTATCGACAGCCAGCTTCTGCTATAACTTGCAAAAACTTCTCTCTTTTTAGCTCAACCCTAGAGGGAGAGAAAAACATGCCTTGTACCTGCAAGAGATGAGAGCACTTTGAAACTGGTACCACTGCCCTACAAATGTGTGGCATCACCAGGACACAAGTGAGGGGTGCGGGGAGAAGGCATAACCTCAAAATAATGTTGCCATGCGCAGGAAGCATTAATGCAAGCTGTAAAATATCCAGTGTGTTTCAGCCAGAGTCATGCTGCTGCTGCTGCGATGCTCCAAAAAAAATGCCTCATTTCCCCCTGAAGGTGTAACCTGAAACACAACAAGCATTTTAAACCTTGCGTTAAAGCAGGGGTGTCAAACTCAAATTCATCGGGGGCCGCATCAGCAGTTTGGTCACCCTCAAAGGGCCGGTTGTATCTGTAAGACTATGTAAAGGACATGTAAAGTGGAGGTTTCCTGTGTAGAACGGCCGGCGCCGCTAGAGGGCAGACGTTCTCTGGCTTGTAGGCTGCCGCGCATGCGCTGAAGAGGCGGCTTTCTTGTGTCCCCCCCAAAAAAGCGAGAATAAAAGGTGAAAGCTGGCGGCCGGCGGCCGGCGGCGGCTACACGGGCCACATGACGAGGTCTGGTGGGCCAGATTCGGCCCGCGTGCCTTGTGTTTGACACCCGTGCATTAAAGTTTCCTATTCATCTCATCTCAGCACCGTTTTGAGGTTCTACCTCCTTTTTTGATCACTTGCAGTCAGTGCTATTTTTTCTAGAAAAAGAGGTAGCAGAACTCACCACGAATGGCTCCCCCTCTTTCTCTTAGAACGGCAATGGCACCCACCATAGAGTCCCAGCTGAAAAAAAGCCCTGCTTGCAGTTGCAAATTCCTTAAGTGGAACCATAGCTGTGCCCTCATGGTAAAATGGCTTCCTGAGGGTGAGGGGTGTTTCTGTGTTCATGTTTTTTGCTTGATTTGATGAAGCCCAGCCACTGGTATGTTTTGACACCTCAGCAGGGTAAGATGAAGGTTCTTGGCAGACACTGTGAACTAGAAAAAAACTAAACTGTACATCTCTCTGAGCTAATTAACAAATAAACAAACAACGAGCCGCACTCTTAAGCTTCCTTTGTCCATAGTACTGTGTTGGGGGCGGGGGGGGGGTACGTGGCTCCAAGTCTTGGGGAGCTCATTTATTTAATCGTTTGTTCATTCGTTCAGAAGATGCATACCGCTTAACATTTTTGGCAATAAAATGAAATCCCCAAGTGGTTTGCAGGAGTTATAAAAGCAAAACACAGATAGGTCAGAATACAATAAATACATTTCAAGTCCAGAATTTAAAACAAGCCCACAATTGAATTTCAGTAGCTAAAGTTTAGCTGGTCCTCAAGAGGGTCTGTAGAGGGGGACAGGCCCAAGAAAGTCTTGTTCCTTCAGGTTTGGCGTTTCCAAATTTCAGAATCGTGTGCCTTATTTTTGGTGCTGTTTGTTTTCTGCAAGTGACCAGAGATGTACCATGTTTTAGGCAGGCAAGCTTCCAAGGCTGTGTGAATTAGACCTATGGTGGTAGCTGGAAAAGTACAACTGGGTGTGTTACAGATTCCAGGTTTGCAATGTCCCAAATCCCCAGCACACATTTGGAACAGATCCTAAGAAGCCGTTTCATTTCCCACTGAGTAACAGGAAAGTGCTTTCAGGTACATTATATTACCCTGTTTCCTTCATTGCAGCCCTGTTTTGAAGTGTGTTGCTCTTGCTCAGAAACCCAATGGGTTTTTTTTAAAATCAAGGAACTGAGAGTTACACAGACAACCCACCACGATGGCGCAGCTAGCTCAACAGTAAACTGAACACATATTCTTACGGGGTGAGGGCCAAGCTAAATCTGTGCTTCTGGGGCAGTGGGGGGGTGGGCAATGTGAACATGGTGGAAAGGAGCTTTTGAGCGGTCTGAGAAAAGGGCAGAAAAGGGTTTCTGCCAGTGAGCAGGCATCATTACTTTCTCGGCTTGGGAGGGATCGGGTTACAGCATTTGTACAGAAACCTCATCCAACCTCCTCCTCTCCGAGGGTCTCTGCTAAATCTGGGTGTTCTGCCTCTCTGGGGTCTTGCCTAGCGCTTGGCGTTCTCTCCAAAGACCTCTTAGTCCATCATCCTGGGCCAAGGGCAGCTTGGGTTTATGGTGGATACATAGCTGGGCAGAGAGAGCGCAAGCCTGCCTTTTATAGTCGCTGATGAGCCTCCATGCATTCCTAACTCTGAACCCTCCTCTAATTCTGAACAGAGCAGCAGCTTTCCTCCCTCCCTCCCTCCTTCCCTCCCAAACCGTTTCCTGCAAGGAAATAGCAGCTTGGCTTGCTGAGTGTGTCGCGACCACTGCTGCCTTTCGCAGACACCGGCATGAACATGAAAGCCGTGGTTGTTATCCTGGTATTGGCTCTGGCTACCATTTTTGCTTTAGTTTGTGTCTTGATGACCAGAAAGGAAAAAGTCGTTAGGTGTGGCGTCTCAGGGCTCCAGAATTCTCCCGAAGGCACCAACCGAGATCCGAGCGAGATCTTTGCTGACCTGTCAGCCGCTGAGATGGTCCAAGTGGTGAAATACCTCAAGGAGAATCTTGGCGTCCGCCTGGAAGATGCATCCCGGGCAAAGCCCTCCGATAACTGCATTTACTACTTGGATACGTACTTCCCCTCTAAAGAAGTGGCTCTGGGCTTCCTGGACCATGGAAGGGCTCAGCCCCACCGGGAGGCCTTGGCTGTGGTGTACTTTGGGAACCAGCCAGATCCAAATGTCACCGAATTCGTAGTAGGCCCTCTTCCGAACCCAATGGGCCACCGTGACATCACGCTGAAGAAATTTGGCAGGAAGGTGCCGTATCACAGCAGGCCGGTGACGGTGAAGGAGTACAAAGATATTGACATCTTCATTTTCCGGGAGCTCGAGGCGGCCAACAACTTCCTCAGAGAATGTTGTGAGTATAATAGGAGTAACCTGGCTACTCTGACCACAGCTCCCCGAGGGTTTGAATCTGGTGACCGAGCCACCTGGTTTGTCCTGTTCCACAATGTCAACGGCAGCGGGTACTACATCCACCCCATTGGCTTGGAGGTGTTGGTGGACCACCGGAGTCTGAACATCTCTGAGTGGAAGGTGAAGAAAGTGTTCTACAACGGCCAGTATTATGAGAATATGGCCCACCTGGAGAAGGAGTTTAGAGATGGGCGTGTGAAGGAGGTCAGAGTGAAGGCAGCCCACCTGAAGAATGATTTTACTTCCAGGAAGCCTTCGGAATCTTCTCCTCATCCAGGACCTTTGCAATTTGAGCCCCTCGGGATGCGCTACACCGTAGCCGGCAGCCATGTTGTCTACCGGTCTTGGAGTTTTGCCTTTGGGATGAACGTGAACGCAGGGCCACGCCTCTTCAACATCAGATTTGGCGAGGAAAGGATTGTCTACGAGTTGAGTCTGCAAGAAGCTCTTGCTACTTATGGCTCCAACTGCCCCGGGGGAATGGTGACTAGGTACATGGACGGGACCCTTGGCATTGGGAAATTTTCTTACGAGTTGGTTCGGGGAGTGGACTGCCCCTATACAGCCACCTACGTGGACCGCCACTACTTGATAGACTCTGACACCCCGAGACTGAACAAGAACTCTTTCTGCATCTTTGAGCATGACATGGGTGTGCCTCTCCGGCGACATTTTTCTGACATGGGCTCCTTCTATTACGGGGGGTTGAACAACTACGCTTTGGTCTTGAGGGCCATCTCCACTCTCATCAACTACGACTACGTCTGGGATTTTGTGTTCTACCAAAATGGTGCTATAGAAGTCAAGGTCCACGCCACGGGATACATCAGCACATCGTTCCTCACGGAAGGTGGCACTGCCTTTGGAAACAGGGTCGGGGAGCACACACTTGGGACCATGCACAACCATCTCATGAACTACAAAGTCGACTTGGATGTTGGAGGTAGGTGCCCCAGACTTCCCAAAACGTTATGTTCTCCCACCCTAACTGTGGAAACCGTAACTGAATACTGAGAGGTGTTGCAGTTGGGCGTCCCACAACAAATCTAACTTCCCCCCCAGGAATCTCACATTCTGTATTTCAAGTAATGTAAGGATTTGTGTGACTGTTTAGAAATTCCTTTTCCTATTCAGTCTATTTATAGGGTTTGACGTACCAGAGCTAGACGAGTGGGTTATAAAAGGGACGCTAAGTGTGAACCTTCCCTTATTTAGCACTCAGAAAACTAAACATTTTTTTTTGCCAGAACTTGGAAAATGGCATGTTGTTTTTTCTAACAATTTCCTAACAATTAGGCATGTTTGCTTCTTTTTGCCACAACAGACGGGTAAGAGTCTTGTGAGACATTTGTGATGTATTTGTATTTTGTTTATTCTGGCTTAAATTATGAGTCAGGGAGGCTCCTTTAGGACCCTTGGTGATGTCACTGGAAGTATGATGAGGTCTGATTGGGGCAGGGATTGGAAGAAGGTGAGTGGGTGGGATCAGGGGCGTGGAAGGGGGGAAGGGGGGGTGGACCGCCCTGGGTGCCCTCACTGAGGGGGTGACATTTGGCTTGTCACCTGCCTGCAACTCCTAAGCCTACCCCGAGCCGTCGGGGTAAGGGGGAGCTGCGCCGCTTTGCCAGCGACATTCCCCCCTTCCCCTTTTGTTTTGACAGCTTGGAGTAGGCTTGGGAGTTGCGAGTGGATGGTGCACTGAATGTCTGAGATGGGCGGCTCACTCTGCCCCAGCTATCCTGCACCTGGGAGGGCATCCTCCGCACCACGCCCTCCTCAGGAGCGCACCCGCCCTGGGCAGCGTGGGCATATGCTCCACCGCTGGGTGGGACCAAGGGGAAGAGTGGCAAAGGTTAAAATCTAAGCCGGAGAAGAACTTTTGGGGCTGCAATGCCCACCTTGTACAGTAAGCAGTGCAAATCTCCAAGCTTTGCAATGCTAAGCCAAGGATTGTGAAACTTGGATCTATCACAGGGTGAGGGAGAGAGAATAAAGGATCAGCACCCTTGGGAAGGTCAGCCACAATTTCTGGCATAATGCTGTTCCCAAACTTGAATGTGCTGTTTAGGGTCCCCTTATTGGATACTTGGGAGCTGTGATGTCTGACATAAGGAGATAATTCTGTTATTAACAGAAGTGTGCAATCTGGGACGCGGATGGCGCTGTGAGCTAAACCACAGAGCCTAGGACTTGCCAATCAGAAGGTTGGCGGTTCGAATCCCCGCGACAGGGTGCGCTCCCGTTGCTCGGTCCCTGCTCCTGCCAACCTAGCAGTTCGAAAGCACGTCAAAGTGCAAGTAGATAAATAGGTACTGCTCCAGCGGGAAGGTAAACGGCATTTCCATGCGCTGCTCTGGTTCTCCAGAAGCTGCTTAGTCACGCTGGCCACATGACCCGGAAGCTGTACGCCGGCTCCCTCGGCCAATAAAGCGAGATGAGCACCGCAACCCCAGAGTCGGCCACGACTGGACCTAATGGTGAGGGGTCCCTTTACCTTTTACAATCTGAAACAACAAATAGTCTATAAAATGCAATCCATCACCTCGAGGCAGATTAAGAGTATTGATGGCATGTGTTTCGGGAACACTGGTAACATTCGGCTGACACTCTGTCCCTTGTCTGGTTTTGTTCCCGTTTCCACCACTGCTCCCCCTGCTTGCCTCAGTGTGCCATAAGCAGAGATCAGGAGCCAGAAAAATGCAGTCCAGAACGGTGCAGGTAGGGGAGAACATGGCTTGAGCGAGGGAGCACATGTTGCAGGGAAAGTAACGGGACTCAGAGAAATGAAATAACGGAACATCTGATAGTACTAGCAATGACCGCTCCCTGCATAAAACGGGGGGGGGGGACCCTTGCGTGGACGCGCCCACAGGTGGGATACCTGGAGGTCTCCGCCTACCTCAGTCAGTTGTCCAATCCCACCTGGGGGAAGCGTTGCCAAGGAGACCAGGCCAGGTGGGGGAGGGATTACCTGCCCACACAATAGAGGGAGGATCTGACCTGGGAATCCTCACTTGGCTCCAGAGCTTGGCTCCACTAGCAAAGAGCAGAAGCGAACCAGAAACTTGGGCCAAAGGGAAGTAGCAGCTTGTAAATTATATGAGCAGGAGATGCTCCCGTTTCATAAAACAGCGTTTAGGGCTTTACAGATGCATTGCAGAGAAAGAGATGTCGGTGAACCAGAGTTCTTTAAATGGTTATGTTGGAACGGGGAAACTTTTCACATTCCCTCAGGGGCAAACTTCCAGAAGCTGTGACGTTAGGGGTGGACGGTGCAATAAGCAAAAGTGGGGGGGGGACCATGAATGCGCACGGTAAGACTGAAGGCCAGCCACAAAGGAGTCAGAGGTTTCCTCATCCCACTCACCCCCATCTCCTCTTCCCTTCTCCATCAGGATAAGCAAGAGGCACATTCCTGCCACAGAAAAGCGCTTGGGGATAGTGTGAGAGCAGAGCCAGAGAGAGGAGTGGCCTAGAGAGAGGGGGTGTGGCCTTGATGGTGGGTGTGGCCTGGGAAGAATATCGAGGGTCCAATAGAGAAGCCTTGCCCCTCTGGGTTGTATGATCGGGATTAACTTCCACAGCAGCAGGAAACTATTGGCAGGGTTGGGTAAGCAAACTTACAGCTTGCTTGTAATCTCACCCCATTCCTCTTTGCATGTGGAAATGGGGAGATGCTGCTGTTCGGAGTCTTCGTTTGCTCAAACTCTGGTCCAACAAGGAATGTGGGGACAGCAGAAGATCACGGGCTTTGTGTACACAGAGCTCCGTTTTGGGCTCCTCAGGCTGGGAAAGACTTTTGTTGGAGTTCCCCAGAGAGCTGCCTGCCAGACACCAATCCTGAACAAGACGGTGTGGGGTGTAATCCACTGGGAGCAGTCAAATACAACATTCCTTGTTTTGCTAGAGTGGACATGCAAGGGAAGGTTTGGTCCAGCCAGTCGAAACTTCCTGTTCCTCCTGGCCTGGAGCATCCTTCCTTGCATGTGACTAAAAGGTGGGCGCGGCCTTACCTGACCTAACAAAAGGTCCAGTCACGTAGCTACCTCTCTCTTTTCGACCTTCCTGCATCACCTGGACTGGACTGCTGCCTGCCACAGCAGTCCCCATGTCATCTCTTTTTTTTAAAAAAAAGATTTTTATTAAAGTTTCAAAGATTATATAAAAACAAAACAGAACAATAAAACAAACAAACAAGAACAAAAACAAGTATAGTTTCAATCCCTTATTTTCTTGTAACTTACTCCCCCGACTTCCTCGTACCTCCCCTTTCTGTATTCCAATTTCCAGTTATTAATTCAGCAAATCCTCACCCTTATTTTTCATTTAAATTTTTAACTTTTCTTTTCTTTACTTAACCATTACTGCTGGAAACCACATAATTTCTAAACCAACGTCATTCTAACATTCATTAATTTTGCAATGTTTCTTAAGATAGTCCTTAAATTTCTTCCAATCTTCTTCCGCTGTCTCTCTTCCCTGGTCTCGGATTCTGCTGGTCATTTCTGCCAGTCCCATATAGTCTATCACCTTCATCTGCCATTCTTCCAAGGTGGGTAGTTCTTGTAACTTCCAATACTTTGCGATGAGTATTCTTGCTGCTGTTGTAGCATACATAAAGAATGTTCTATCCTTCTTTGGCACCAATTGGCCGACCATACCCAAGAGAAAGGCCTCTGGTTTCTTCAGAAAGGTATATTTAAATACCTTTTTCAGTTCATTATATATCATTTCCCAGAAAGCCTTAATCTTTGGGCATGTCCACCAAAGGTGAAAGAATGTACCTTCAGCCCCATGTCATCTCCCATAGGGGGTAAACCTGTCTGTACATGCTTGTAACTTTAAGCCTAAAGCCTGCCTTCAGGGATCACACTGTGCTCTGCCTGATCGTAAGTAAAACTACGTTTTGTTCCTTATGAATAAGCCTGTGGTGTCTTTATTCTTTTAGGAGGGATTCAAAGGGGACCTTACCGGGAACACACAATTCAGTCTGAGCTAGATTGAATTGTATAAGAGTAAAAGGCTCAGACAAGTCAGGAACTTGTTTTCCTGCTGCGTAAGAAGGGGAATGCGCTCTGCTAAGAGAAGAAACTTTCTGGCACAAGTTAGGAAGGATATTATTAAACGATACATCCTCTCCTGCCATCCTCAACATTCCCACAGATGGACTAGGCAGAGTCCTCTGTTACTCCACCTTTAGATAAATGGCAAGGAGCTAGTCTTGTAATGTCATCTGTAAAAGAAAAGGCAGTGATGCCATTGCAATATAGTCGCTGTAGTGTGTTTCTGTATATAAAAGGTGGAGTGATACACTTTCTCCTAGAAGAGAGGGAAAGCTATGGTGAACCACTGAAAAATGCTCAGATCTGGAAAATCTGGTCTCTTGTTTTCAAGCCTCCTGTTGGCTCATTGTGCAATTTAGGCCAACTCAGGGCTTATCCACACTCACCCTTTGACCTGCTCTTTCCTGTTCTGATTAAGCTTTAAAGAGTGGGTTTTCATGGGAAAAGCTCTGGAGCAAAAAAAAGGGGGGGGCATTCAGATATGGTACTGTAAAGCTCTGACCGTGCCTTGAAAGTGTGGAAGAAAGTGTGGATAAGTCCCCCGTCTCCTCTTTTTCTGTCCCTCTGTCTCTCTCAAACCCTTAGTTCTCCATCTGTGCACAAGGAATAAGACCTACTCTGCTGATAAAATATGCACTGATTCATCATTTCATGCGGTGGCTGTAAGGAAACCAAATTAGGAAGTCCCAAAGAACTGCAAGCAAACGATAAGAACAGTTCCCACAATGGAAGTTAGGGAGGAGGGAGTTTCATAGCTGTTGATCAGCCCAGGGAAGCTCCCTTCCCGTTAGAATTTGCCAAGAAGAAGAAGAGTTTGGATTTGATATCCTGCTTTATCACTACCCGAAGGAGTCTCAAAGCGGCTAACATTCTCCTTTCCCTTCTTCCCCCACAACAAACACTCTGTGAGGTGAGTGGGGCTGAGAGACTTCAGAGAAGTGTGATTAGCCTAAGGTCACCCAGCAGCTGCATGTGGAGGAGTGGGGAATCGAACCCGGTTCACCAGATTACGAGACCACCGCTCTTAACCACTACACCACACTGGCTCTCAAGGTGCCAAGCTGTTCTTGGCTGGTCTTAAAAGTTTGCAAGTGAAACATGAGACAGATTGCCTCTGAGACGACCCTGTTAGTAGACCACCATTATCCCCATCTGACGGGCGAATAACTGGTGCTGAGAGAGATGGGGATTTGTGTAATCCTACATGATGGGAGATAATTTGAGCCCACGCCTCCGAAATACAAGGTGGAAGTTTCCTCCACAGGCCCCAGTTGGTGTTCAGAGGTGCCGTGTTGCGCCCAAGATTGTGAGGGGCTGGCATGCGTTTCACGCGTGTGAGATTGCATCGTCAGGAGGAGGCCAAGTGCCCAGCCCAGCAAGGCTACCTCCTTCTCGCGCTCAGGAGGAGCCAGCCATTGAACTGCGCCACATTCGCCCTTCTCCACCCCTTCAGCATTGAGGGGGCCCAGTCCCCTGCCAGCTAATATTGAGGGGGCCAAAGACCCCTCCGCCCCTAGGAGCTGGTGCGCCTCTTATCCCAGTGGCTGCAAGAATCACAAAGTTGTAGAGTCGGAAGGGATCGTGAGAGTAATCTAGTCCAAACCCCTGCAATGCAGGAATCTTTTGCCCAAAGTGGTGCTTGAAGTTATGGCGCTGAGGTTAACTCTCTCTCTCTTTCTCTCTGCTTTTCAAGTTTAAACATTTCACTAATTTTACACCCATTTAGACTTGACTTCCTTCCCCCTCTTTCTGCAGTCCCTTAAATTTATCTTTGATATCTTCTGCCTATCCAAATTAACTTAATTTCCTCATTTGTTCATCTTCTTTCAAGATATACTCTTATGAAACTGCGGGTTATTACAATAATCCTGCCAATGTTCTTATCTGTTTACAATTTGTCTGTAAATAATCAATAAACCATTTCCATTCTTTTATAAAAAGTTCTTGATTTCTTATTCTCCAGGTAAGTTTTGCCATTTCTGCATATTCCATAATTTTTTGTATCCAATCTTCCTTTGCTGGGATTTCTTCTTCTTTCCATTTTGGGGCAAGTAACATTCTTGCCGCTGCAGTTGCATACACAAATAAGTTTCTGTACAGTTCAGGTACTTCTGCCCCTATACCGTATTTTTCGCTCTATAAGACGCACCAGACCACAAGACGCACCTAGTTTTTGGAGGAGGAAAACAAGAAAAAAAATATTCTGAATCCCAGAAGCCAGAACAGCAAGAGGGGTCGCTGCGCAGTGAAAGCAGCAATCCCTCTTGCTGTTCTGGCTTCTGGGATAGCTGCACAGCCTACATTCGCTCCATAAGACGCACACACATTTCCCCTTACTTTTTAGGAGTGAAAAGGTGAGTCTTAATAGAGCAAAAAATACGGTAATTCCCAAACGAGATGAACAGTCTTGTGCTCTACTAACAATCTTGCTTTGTTGAGGGTTTGTCTCTAGGGACCGAAATGGGAAATCCTTCTCTCTTATTCTCTGCTTTCGTCAGGGATCAAGAACTCCCTGGTGGCTCTTGATATGGCGTTTGAGTCCGTGGCGGCCCCTTGGAGCCCAGAGCACCAGATCCAACGGCCCGTTCTCACAACCCGGACCCTGGACAAGGAAGAAGACGCTGCCTTTCCGCTGGACGGCAAAGTCCCCCGGTACCTGCACTTTGCCACCAGCCGGGAAAACCAATGGAACCATCAGCGAAGCTACCGCATCCAGATCACCAGCTTCGCTGGAGAACACTTGCCTGAAGCTAGCACCATGGAGAGGTCCATTAGCTGGGGCAGGTAGGCAACAGGAACCATGGTCTTTCTCTTTTTTTCTTAATTTTATTTATACTTTTCAGATACAGTGGTACTTCCGGTTGCGGATGGGATCCGTTCCGGAGGCCCAGCCAGATCCCAAGGTTTTCCCAACCGGAGAGACCGCTTCAGCACCACGCAGGGCAGTAGAGCGCTTCTGTGCATGCGCAGAAGTGGTCTACCGCTTCAATGCATGTGTGCATAGCAAAACACCAGAAATATAATTCCAGGTTTGCCGCTTACGTATCCCAAAGTTTATGTAACTGGAGGGATACGTAAGCGGAGGTACGACTGTATATACATTTCACTTATTTTACAATCATCTTGACATTTTTAAACTTGACTTCCTTCCCCCTCTTTCTGCGGTTCCTTAAATTTATTTTTAATATCTTCTGCCTATCCAACTTAACTTAACTTACTCATTTATTTATCTTATATATATATGTATATACTCTTATGTATCTGCAGGTTATTACAATAATCCTGCCAATATTTTTATCTGTTTACAATTTATCTTTAAATATTCAGTAAACTGTTTCCATTCTTTGATAAAAAGTTTGTTATCTTGATTTCTTATTCTTCTGGTAAGTTACGCCATTTCTGCACATTCCATAAGTTTTTGTATCCGTTCTTCCTTTGCTGGGACTTCTGCTTCTTTCCATTTTTGGGCAGGTAACATTCTTGCTGCTGTAGTTGCATACATGAATAAGTTTCTATACAATTTAGGTAGTCCTATCCCTAGAGTTCCCAAGAGAAAGGCTTCTGGGTTTTTTTTACAAACGTTACTTTAAACATCCTTTTCATTTCATTGTATATCATTTCTCAGTTAGCCTTAACCTTACTTACAAGACCACCACATATGATAAAAAGAACCTTCTTCCTCTTTACATTTCAAACACTTATTTGATTTAGTTTTATACATTTTTGCCAGTTTACTCAGGGTTGGATACCATTGATAAATCATTTTAATATAATTTTCTCTTAAACCGTAACATGCTGGAAATTTTATATCCCTATTCTACAATTGTTCCCATGCTTCCATGTCTATATTATGACCAACATCTATTGCCCCCAACAGCAAACCATGTCCTGTTTGTCTTTCAGATAAATGCCATCCTGTTTAATTTTTTAAAATATTGATTTTTCTTAAATTTTCAAAGCTTTAAACAAATTTATCATTCACTGATATTTTTCTTGTTGACTTCCCACCCTTCCTGCACTGATTTTTTTTTCCTTTTTCTTATCCTTGGTTGCTGCATAATAAAGGTAAAGGTAATGGGACCCCTGTCTGGTAAAGGTCCAGTCATGACCGACTCTGGGGTTGCGGCGCTCATCTCGCTTTATTGGCCGAGGGAGCCGGCGTACAGCTTCTGGGTCATGTGGCCAGCATGACTAAGCCACTTCTGGCGAACCAAAGCAGCGCACGAAAACACTGTTTACCTTCCCGCCGGAGTGGTACCTATTTATCTACTTGCACTTTGACATGCTTTCGAACTGATAGGTTGGCAGGAGCAGGGACCGAGCAACGGGAGCTCACCCCGTTGCGGGGATTCGAACTGCCGACCTTCTGATCGGCAAGCCCCAGGCTCTGTGGTTTAACCCACAGCGCCACCCGCGTCCCTGCATAATACTTGCTTCTTAATCCCCCCCTAACTCCAGCTTATCATTCATTTTTTGCTCCCCCTCGCTCATAACTCAGAATCCTGCTCGCGATTTCATATCGCTAAAATACGTTGAGAGATAGTAAAAAAAAAAAAAAAAGGCCTCTACTTTTCCATAAGCAGTTCATCATTTTGATCTCTTGGTTTTATGGTCGATGTTGCCATTTCAGCATAGTCCGTTGATTTTTATAAGCCATTCTTCTTTGGTTGGAATCTCTTCCTCTTCCATTTCTGCGCGTATAAAAGCTCCGGCTGTCGTCGTTGCATGCATAAAAAGACAAGTCAGCTTCTTTGGAACCTCTGTCCCAATTATCCCTAGCAAAAAAGACTTAGTGGTTTTTTTGGGGTGGGGGAATCACCAATTTAAACATCTTTTTGAATTCATTATCCACCCTGTTTCATTTTGAGGGTCGTTCCTGGGTCAATTCAGTGCTGCTAGAGGGGACGTGGGTGGCGCTGTGGGTAATCTCCCAAGCTTTTTAGCGGGGGCAATTAGAATAAGATTTATTATTTGCTCATTTGCCCCAAAATGTATTTTCTATAGTTAAGTTTTTACCTCTATATCCAGTACATTTTATTATATTTTATTGCTATGGGTGGCGCTGTGGGTAAAACCTCAGTGCCTAGGACTTGCTGATCGCAAGGTCGGTGGTCCGAATCCCCACGGCGGGGTGAGCTCCTGTCGTTCGGTCCCAGCTCCTGCCCACCTAGCAGTTCGAAAGCACCCCCGGGTGCAAGTAGATAAATAGGGACCGCTTACCAGCGGGAAGGTAAACGGCGTTTCCGTGTGCTGCGCTGGCTCGCCAGATGCAGCTTTGTCACGCTGGCCACGTGACCCGGAAGTGTCTGCGGACAGCGCTGGCCCCCGGCCTATAGAGTGAGATGGGCGCACAACCCTAGAGTCTGGCAAGACTGGCCCGTATGGGCAGGGGTACCTTTACCTTACTTTTAAATAGTTGCTGCTTTTAGTGCCTTTTAATGATCGCATGGTCGGCGGTTCGAATCCCCGCGGCGGGGTGCGCTCCCGTCGTTCGGTCCCAGCGCCTGCCAACCTAGCAGTTCGAAAGCACCCCCGGGTTCAAGTAGATTAATAGGTACCACTCAGGCGGGAAGGTAGACGGCATTTCTGTGCGCTGCTCTGGTTTGCCAGATGTAGCTTGTCATGCTGGCCACGTGACCCGGAAGTGTCTGCGGACAGCGCTGGCTCCCGGCCTATAGAGTGAGATGGGCGCACAACCCTAGAGTCTGTCAAGACTGGCCCGTACGGGCAGGGGTACCTTTACCTTTAATGCAGCAAAAACCGTTCGGGAGGCAGCGGTTATGAGTCACCGGTCTCTGCAGCCACGGCAGGCGCTGTGATTTCCCAGCAGTTTTACTCCAACCCTGGAAGTGCACCCCTGGAGGGCTGTAGCTCAGTGATAGATAGATATACTTTATTCGCATTAGCCAACGGCCATAGCAACATAAAACAAGCAATATATAGAATTGAAAAGACAACAGTGGGTAAAAAGGACAGTCAAATGACCAAGATTATCGTTCAGATAGTGGCCCTTAATCTCATTGCACCCTCGATAAACCTAGCAACCTTTGCTGTTGATCTGATAAAAGAAAGAACAATGTGGCCACAGATGGGGTGGTAAGTAAGAGTGGGGTGATGATCTCATTCCTCAGATCTTTATAAAGGGGACCGCTTCTATCTGTGGTTTTTTTTTTATTGGTTTTAATTCATTTTACAACATCATACACTAAAACAGACAAAGAAAAACAAACAAACATATATATCACATAACACACAACACTAACAACACAAACTGACTCCCCTTCATCTCGGTTTCGGATTATGTTATAAAATTTCCTATCTGCAGTTTCTTTTCCTCAGAAAATTCTTAACATCACAAGTGTTATATCGCACCTACTGTAATTTTTAGGTTTTTTACCTCTGTTTCCATGTATGCCAAAAATTTATTCCATTCTTTATTAAACTTTATGTCTTTTTGATTTCTTATTTTCTGTGTCATTTTTGCCAGTTCTAAATAATCAAATAGTTTAGATTGCCACTCAGTTATAGTTGGGATTTTTTGTATCTTCCAATTCTGCGCTATTAGAGTTCTGGCAGCCACTGTCACATACTGAAAAAGTGTTTGATCTTCCTTTTTGATTTCTTCTCCAATTATCCCCAGCAAAAAAGGCTTCGGGTTTTTTAATAAAGGTATATTTAAAGATTTTTTTTAGTTCGTTGTAAATAGATTCCCAAAATTTTCTGATAGGCTCACACAACCACCACATATATCTGTGGTTTTTAGAGATGCCCTGGAAGGGCTCTGGTTAGGCACGGCCATGGATGGCTGTAGCTCAGTGGTGGAGCATCTGCTTTGGGTACAGAATGCTCCCCTCGGGCTGGGAATGTCCGCTGTCTGAAACCTTTGAGCGCTGAGTGCAGACAATACTGATCTAGACAGGCCAGTGGTGTGACTCAGTATATGGCAGTTGGGATGGGTGGTAGCCATCTTGCCACGGACTATCATATTCTAAGTAGAAGACGGCACTGCTAGGAATAAAGACAAAGAACTTGCCTCTTGCCTCTGATTTCATCCTCTCAACCATTTCCCCCATTATCCGCATCCTTCAGGTACAAGGTGGCTGTTACCAAGCGGAAAGAGGAGGAGCTGATCAGCACGTGCATTTATAATCAGAATGATCCTTGGGATCCACTGGTGGTCTTTGCTGATTTCATAGACAACGAGACCATCGTCAACGAGGTGAGTGCTGCGACCCTAGAATTGCACAAGGGACCGTGAGAATCATCTGGTCCAGTGTTTCCTCGAACTTGGGCCCCCCAACTGTTGTTGTACTACAACTCCCATCATCCCTAACTTGCAAGAGCGGTGGTCAGGGATGATGGGAATTGTAGTCCAACAACAGCTGGGGACCCAAGTTTGAGGAAACACTGATCTGGCCCAACTCCCTGCAGTGGAGGAATCTTTCAACCAACATGACCCTAAGATCAGGAGTCTCGTGGTCTACCGACTAAGCTATCCTGAATTATTGCTTCCTGAAGAAGAGGGACAGAGGTCCGTTAGAGATGGAGAAAGCCTTAAAGGAGAAAGGGTAAAGGATATGTACCAGTAATAATGATAATGGTCTAAATGTTGTGAGTCTGGCATACCCAAAGAACATATGGCCTTAGATCTAGGTGATGCTCTGCCTAGGATACTATTACCGTATTTTTCGCTCTATAAGACGTACCAGACCACAAGACGCACCTAGTTTTTGGAGGAGGAAAACAAGAAAAAATATATTCTGAATCTCAGAAGCCAGAACAGCAAGAGGGATCACTGTGCAGCGAAAGCAGCAATCCCTCTTGCTGTTCTGGCTTCAGCGATAGCTGTGCAGCCTGCATTCGCTCCATAAGACGCACACACATTTCCCCTTACTTTTTAGGAGGGGAAAAGTGAGTCATAGAGCAAAAAATACGGTATGTTGCAGGGTTATTTACAAGGAGCTAAGCCTCTTTGGTGGGCACTTCATTCCTGTGGAACTTCTTGCCTAAGGCGGCTTTCAGACAGTACAGGAGAGGCATGAAGAGGGCAGAGCAAAAGCAGCCACACCGGCATATTCTCAGATTGGTTGGGGAAAACTCTGGCGAGGAGGAGACTTAGGCAGCTATGGGAAGGCGGGGACCTTCAGACTCTGCAAGACCTTGTTGCTGTGCTCATTAGGCCTGGCACTTCTGAGCCGATTCTGTTTCCTGTAAGAGTTAAGTTCACTTACCCTGTGTGATTTATTGCTGGCTTGCTCCTGACCCCTGAGTTCAGTTGTGCATCTGATAGATAAATGGCTCACAATCTGGCCACAGACCATCTAGAATGGTTGAGCATCATCTACATCAGGGATGACGAATCCAGATGTTGCATAACTCCAGCTCCTATCATTCCCAACCTCTGGCCATTCTACCTGGGGCTGATAGGAACCCGGCAACCTCTGCAGGGCCACCGAGTATCCATCTCTGATCTACATGCAGCCTGTTCTCGACTGGCCCACCCAACTACAAGGGATACAAATCCTGTTTCAACACACTGAGAACTGGGAAAATTGAAATTGAAAAAAAATGAAATACTTTATTGTCACTTGTACAACTTGTATACAGTGAGATTACACTAGCACCCCCCACTCAGCTCTCTTAGTCTTAATTCCCCTCGTTTACTGATGCACACCCACCAAACTCAAAAGTCAGTTGCCCTGTTGTTGTCTTTTCATTCAGCAGCCTAACAGCCCACGGATAGAAGCTGTTCTTTACCCTGTTGGTGCGACTAATCATGCTTCTAGATCTTCTGCCCGAGGGCAGGAGATCAAGGAAGTGCCGGCCAGGGTGTGAATCATCCCTGAGAATTTTCCTCACTCTCCTGAGGCAACGTTCTTCCGCTATTTCATCCAGCAGATTCACGAGACAGCCCATAATATCTTGTGTTGTATTCACCACCCTCTGTAGGCACTTCCTATCAGTTGATGTCAAACCAGCGTACCACACCTTGATGCAGTATGAAAGGACACTTTCTATTGTTGACCGGTAGAAGGAGATCATCAAATGTTGATTGATTCTTTCGCAATATTCTGAGGAGATGGAGTCTCTTTTGGGCTTTCCTAATCACCTGGGTTGTATTTTTTTTCCAAGAAAGGTCTTCACTCCTAGGAATTTAAAGAAAGAGACTCTCTCCACACAGCCCTCCCCGATGTACAGCGGGGCTAGTTCTCCTCTCTTCCTCCAAAAGTCCAACACCATCTCCTTTGTCTTGCTGATATTAAGGTGCAAGTTGTTCCCTAGGCACCATGTAGATATTTTTTGGACCTCCCCTCTATACACTGATTCCTCTCCACCTGTTATTAAACCCATTAAGGTGGTGTCATCTGCAAACTTAATAATTGCCGTGGACGGGTCAGATGATACACAATTGTATGTATACAATGAATACAGGTAGGGACTTAGCACACATCCCTGTGGCGTGCCAGTGCTGATTTTTAAGGAATTAGATGTTACATGTCCAATCCTCACTGAAAAGAATTGAAGTTCTCTTCCATGACCATATTAGTGAGGAAAACATCTTCCACTCGTGACAAACAGGCCTGTTGTTGTGTTTCCTGCTGCTGTTCCCCCCAGGACCTTGTGGCTTGGATCTCCACTGGCTTCTTTCATGTGCCGCACGCTGAGGACATCCCCAACACCGTGACGGTTGGCAACGGGGTGGGCTTCATCCTTCGGCCTTACAACTTCTTCAACGATGATCCCTCCAGCAGGTCCCCGGACGGCGTCTACTTCACAATGGACCAAGATGCTAGCCAATGCGACGTCAACCCAGTCGCTTGCTTGCAGGAGACAGCTTCGTGTTCCCCCAACCTACCTCCGTTCACCTTCAGTGGCTTCCAGAACTTTACAAGTCCTTGACAAGAAGAAAGACTTTGCATTCCCCACCCCGCCCCATCTCAGTTTGCCCAAACATGCCTGTTTCAGCTGAATAACGACACTGTGGAGCCCCAGCAACGTCTGACCTAAATACTGCCTGCTCTCCATTTTCCTTCCGTCTACTCCTTCGCTTGTTGCTGCCTTGCCAGTGTTATCAGTTTGGTGTTGGGGAGGATTTTTCCTCTTAGGCCACGGGTGGAGAACCTGGTTTCCTCCAGGTGCTGCTAGACTACAACTCCCATCATCCACACTCACAGGGACTGATGGGAGTCGGAGTCCAGCAACCTGGCAGCAGCCCCTAGATCAGCTGAGAGACAAGACAGGCTGCAGGATCACTCTGCTGGCACAGGTGTGCTGCTTCCTCTTTTTGATCTTTTTTTTTTACCCCTGCTGGTCGTTAGGCGAACTTGTCATTTGAGTTGGCTTATTTCCTCCTCCCTCCTGATCAGTTTTCCTCTTATGTTGTGCCATTTTAGATTGTAAGCCCGAGGGCTGGCCCACGACATTTTGGCACCTGAGGCGGACCCCAAAATGGCCCCTCTCCCTGCCAGGGAATAAGAGGATCTGGGAAGATCTACATCAGGGATAAGGGGTTAGGGAGAAAGACTGACATCGGGATCTGCTGCTGCGGATGGACCTTGGGGCAGGAATTGACTCCCTCTTTTTTGTAGTGATTTGCGATATGCTTTGGGAGGCTTATTTGGTTTAAGAACGGGATAAAAAAAATCTTTAAGTTTGGGGTGGCTAACATTTTTTTCACCCAAGGGGTACATTCACCCTTGACCAGTCCTTTACACTGGGTGCATGCCAGTGGCAGGTGTGGTCAAAATTGGGGGTGGCTCCCCCATAGTCTCTCCCGCTTACATGTAAACACGTAGGACACAAACATACAGCTACTATTGGCCTCATGCTTCTCACCTGACTCACTTCGGTGAATGGGAGGTATTGCCCTTTTCCATGCATCCAGTGATTGACCTGATGACTGAGGTGAAGGTGATCTGCATCCTCATCAGGCAGGGATGGAGAAAAAATTTGATAAGAGTCTGCGCTGAAAACTAAATCGAGCAAAGGTGCACTTTCCAAAATAATATTCCAGCTGAAACACAGTTATTTTTCAAAATTCAAACTTTCCTGAATTTTGCGAAGCCGTTTGCCAAGGAAACAATGTGTTTTTAAAAATATATATGTATTAGAGGAAAGGGTGCGTAAAAATGAAGTTTGTGACAGTAACATACTGAAATGCATTCTACAGTGGTGCCCCGCAAGACGAATGCCTCGCAAGACGAAAAACTCGCTAGACGAAAGGGTTTTTCGTTTTTTGAGGTGCTTCGCAAGACGAATTTCCCTATGGGCTTGCTTCGCAAGACGAAAATGTCTTGCGAGTTTGTTTCCTTTTTCTTAAAGCTCCTAAGCCGTTAAGCCATTAATAGCCGCTAAGCCGCTAATAGCCGCTAAGCCGCTAATAGCCGTGCTTCGCAAGACGAAAAAACCGCAAGACGAAGAGACTCGCGGAACGGATTAATTTTGTCTTGCGAGGCACCACTGTATTAGGGGAAACGGCTCACAAAAATGTGTGCATTACTCGAAACTGAGCTTATTAGGAGAAATTTGCACTAAAACGCTGGCGATGTTTTGCAAACTGCTTGAAAAGGTGGAGAGCTACGATACGATAATCTTTATTGTCATTGTCCCATACAGAACAACGAAACTGAAAAAATCTACATAAGACATTCAAAAACCAACAAGCCTGCTATCCCAACCTGGTTAGCCCCCTAAAAACTCTGATACCCCATTTTAAAATACAATATACTCCCATAGAGACTACCTTACACTGCATTTAAAACCAAAATCGCATTTGGATAGAAACTGTTTCTCAGGCGGCTAGTCCTAGTCTTTATAACCCTGTACCTTCTTCCAGAAGGCAGAAGCTGAAAGAGAAGGTTAGTTAAAGAGAAAGCTGAAGTTAAAGTTAGAAAAATTAGAAATGGAAGGAATCCCAGAATTGAATAATCCTTCCATCAGACCACACTGGGCCCCAATCAACCCAACCATATGCATACTACGTCTACTTTCATTTTCCTTTGCTTTTTGCCACTGCTGCCAAAATTGATGACGTCCAGGGGGAGCAGAAACATTGGTTTGTGGGCTCTATCAGCCCCTGAATGGGGGGGGGGCAGGGGTGACTTACCCCTGCTTCAAATAAATAAATGCCATCTGGAGGAACACAGGTTACTCCAACCCTCTCTTAGGCTGACTGAGGGGAGAATTTATGGGTTTACCAGATGGTCAATGAGATGTTTCACTCAACCGTTTTCCCTGTGATGGCTTATATAGGAAAGCAACTATGCGCTGGTTTTCTTAGGACGTAGAGCAGTCGTGTCACCTACCCTAGAGACAGAGGACGCAGACACCATCATACACGAGCTCAGAATGGAAACAGAGATAATAATCTGGCCACAGAATGCCTTGCTGTACGACTACTCCACTTGCGACAGGAATTTCTGTAGCATCCGCCACCCTGGTACAAGCTTGTAAATTTCCCTTTGCCGTGAGCAGATGGTTCACGGCTTGTTTCAGCGTTGTGAAATAAATGGGTTTGTGTGTTTTCAGTAGGGCCATTGGGTGTGTACGTTTATTGTGCAATTGCTCAAGATGCGTGCCTGAGTTGCGCCTAATATGCGGCCCAGTATACCTAGAGCAGTGTTTCCCAAACGTTTTTGGGCAACGGCACACCTGTTTACTGAAAAAAAATCTCGCGGCACACCACCATTAAAGCCCCGCCCCGTGACGTCAGCGCGCAGCGTCACGCCGGGAGGGACGCACAAAAGTGAAAGTTTTTTCCCTCCCCCTTGCTGGGGAACCTCCAAGCTTTGGGGGTGGGAGGAGGCAGCAGAGCGAGGGACTGAGGGACGGCGGCAACTGAGGCGGCGGCGGCTGAGGCAGAGCTGGGAAGGGGGTTTCCAGGGGACACGGCAGCTCCTCGAAAGGCTTCTCTCAGCTGCGCTCAATCCGCCTCGGAGAGGATTTCCCCTCCGGTCCCATGCGTTCGTTTGGGGCATCGCTCCGGCTGCTCCCTCTCCCGCGGCGCAGGAGCGATGACTCTCTCTGGCTCTCCCTCCGCGCAGGCTGAGGGAGGGAGGGAGGGGCGCGTGTGACCCGTCTCTGCTGGGAGACCAAACCCAGCGAGGCAGAGTCGCGCGGAGGCGCCCAGGCAGCGCTGCCGGCTGCGAGGAGGAGCGCCAGGCAGCAGCAGGAGGCGCGGCCTCTCCTCGCCGCCGCCGCCCCGCCTCTCGCCGCCCGACTCGCCCGCCTCCCTCCAGGCATCTCGCGGCACACGAGGCAACGTCTCACGGCACACTCGTGTGCCGCGGAACACCGGTTGGGAAACACTGACCTAGAGGAGCATCTCCACCCCCATCGTTCTGCCCGGACGCTGAGGTCCAGCGCTGAGGGCATTCTGGCGGTTCCCTCGCTACAAGAAGCCAAGTTACAGGGAACCAGGCAGAGGGCCTTCTCGGTAGTGGCGCCCGCCCTGTGGAACGCCCTCCCATCAGATGTCAAAGAGATAAACAACTACCTGACATTCAGAAGACATTCAGGGAAGTTTTTAATGTGTGACATCTTAGTGTAATTTTTGGTCTTTGTGGAAGCCGCCCAGAGTGGCTGGGGAGGCCCAGCCAGATGGGCGGGGTACAAATAATTTATTATTATTATTATTATTATTATTATTATTATTATTATTAATTTGTCCCCTGCATGCCAAGTCCAGCAGATTGAGCGGGCGAGACCAATAGCAGTTAAGAAAGTTAAGAAAGCGTTTCTGCAAGTGCTATAGAGGGAAGTGAGCGGCAGGTGAGGCATGTCCACCTGGGAAAGTAGCCCATCTAGGAGAAGGAAAACTCTGATCCTAAACCTCGTTGGGTTATTTTGGACCTGGAAGAGGGCAGAAAGGGGCTGGGCTGGGCTTGGTGGGATCTGGCGACTGGAAGCTCCCTGGGGTTCCCTGCAAAGAGACACTTCAAATGGCCCTTTGGAAGAATACTTTTCTACAGAGTACCCACCATACATTTAAAGTTGTTGTTGTTTAGTCGTGTCTGACTCTTCGTGACCCCATGGGCCAGAACACGCCAGGCACTCCTGTCTTCCACTGCCTCCCGCAGTTTGGTCAAACTCATGCTGGTACCTTCCAGAACACGGTCCAATCATCTCGTCCTCTGTCGTCCCCTTCTCCTTGCGCCCTCCATCTTTCCCAAATCAGGGTCTTTTCCAGGGTGTCTTCTCTTCTCATGAGGTGGCCAAAGTATTGGAGCCTCAGCTTCAGGATCTGTCCTTCCAATGAGCACTCAGGGCTGATTTCCTTCAGAATGGAGAGGTCTGATCTTCTTGCAGTCCATGGGACTCTCAAGAGTCTCCTCCGGCACCAGAATTCAAAAGCATCAATTCTTCGGCGATCAGCCTTCTTTATGGTCCAGCTCTCACTTCCATACATCACTACTGGGAAAACCATAGCTTTAACTACACGACCCTTTGTTGGCAAGGTGATGTCTCTGCTTTTTAAGATGCTATCTAGGTTTGCCATCGCCTTTCATTGGCTTGCCAATGAGAAGGTTGGCAGTTCGAATCCCCGCAACGGGGTGAGCTCCCGTTGCTCGGTCCTGCTCCTGCCAACCTAGCAGTTCGAAAGCACAAAGTGCAAGTAGATAAATAGGTACCACTCCAGCGGGAAGGTAAAGGGTGTTTCCGTGCGCTGCTCCGGTTCGCCAGAAGCGGCTTATTCATGCTGGCCACATGACCCGGAAGCTGTACGCCGGCTCCCTCGGCCAATAAAGCGAGAGGAGCGCCGCAACCCCAGAATCAACCACAACTGGACCTAATGGTCAGGGGTCCCTTTACCTTTACCATTAGATGGTCATAACCTCACCAGGAAGCTAGCCTGGCTATTCCAGAAATCGAATCTGTATTGGTTCCAGGAATTAGAAGGGACTCAGGCATACAGCCTACCCAGTCCCCACCCCCCAATTTATAACAGTGCTGAATAAGTTAGGTATCTTACTGGATGTTGCCTTGGGCACATTTTTATGGAAAGATGGGGATTTAAACAAATGAT